ATGGGCATAACTAAGGATGAAAATAACATTTCTGATTTCAGAGAAGATATGTTTGAAACTAAGCATATCCAGTATTTAGTCTGGGATGGGCAGACCGAAAATAGTTTGTTTATTACTGGGTTCAGTTGCACCAAGCACTAGCAACAGGAGTTTAAATACCTTTATGAGTTTGATTCTATCAGTAAGAATGCACATATAAGAAGTTAAGATGTGGGTTTTTTGAAAGAAACGTAAGGCAGAGGTGAGTTCATTCTGCAATGGAAATCCTGGCTTAAAAAACAGAGTTTAGCTGCTGCTAAGACCTTGCTTTGTCAATTAAGTCATTTGGAGCAGATTAGGACTTCTCAGAAGATGCTTACAGTTTCAAGGTCAACCATTAACTGGCGAATAGGGCTACACCAATTAATATGGTTAGATTTTGTTCCATTATTTCAGAGAAGCCTAAAAAGTGGAGTGACTCCATTTCAGGAAAAGACAACCAAGTGTAAGTAAAAGCAGAAATTGTAGTGTATACAGGTGTGAAATGGGATAGTCCTTGCATCACCTTTTTGCAAGAAATCCTGAGAATAATGTTCAGAACAAGGAAAATAAATTTCTCATTTGCTTTTGCCTTAATGTAGTCCTAAGGAAACAGAGACTTGACTTTTTGTTGTGCAACGATCACAGTAATTGTTGGTGCCTCTCAGCCTTAGGGGTACTCACAGTTTCTAAAACAGCAGCCTAAAAAGCCAAAGTCATTCTCTTAGTGAAGAAAGCAGTGATGTTGGCTGTCACCTTGGTGGAAGCTAAAGATGATTTTTTGTCCCTTCACTTTAAGAGGAGATGTAACATAAAAGAATAAAAAAAAAACCAAAACAACACAGAAGTTGGTTTATATTCCATAGCATTCCAAATTGGTCATAAAATTTGTGCTTACAATAGGTTGATAATAAAAGAGTCCTAGAGTCTGTATTAAAAAATGGAGGCTGGAAGGAATGTCATTGGTTCATCAGTATCAACAGACTGAAGATATGTTTTCGTTCTCTTCTTTTGCATTCTTTTGCCTCATAATCAGCTTCTCAGTGTGATTTATGATGCCAAGAATCCAGATCATTCTGCCTTTTTCCATTGTGCTCCTTTTTAAGTCACTCACTGAAACACTGCCACAATCACAGGAACAGTTTTGGCATGTAGTTATGTCAATAGCTGAATTTGTTACTTCAGGAAAGAACAAAATGTTGCTAGAAATGTGCAGAGACTCTATGTAAGCAGTCAGACAATGGACCTAACGTCACTTCTTCATTTGTAACTATTTCTTCTTGAGTTCTTTGAGCCCAATCTTGAGTCTGAAAAGCAACTAATAGCTTTGAGTGCTTTCATACAGCATTGGAAGAATGGGAAGAGTTTGAGGGATATACAAATTCTCAGTGCATCAAATTCTGTAGCCCTTTATATTGCTGTAAGTATTGAGTGACTTGAATGCAGGTAGCAGAGTTTCTCTAGATTTATATCCATGAAAAGGTGAGATTTGGCAGATTATTTAGCTTCCTTTTACCTCAATTCATTGCAGCTCTTGGACCTCAGTTAATTGCAACATTGCTTAGAGTTACAAGGCTCTGTAATAACTCTGTACTTTCAGCTTTGGGCTGAAATACATTGTTATGAATTATGCAGAAAAAAATGTCTGTCACTCCACCTACATATTTTCTGGATATATGCAGATTAGCCTGTCAAATTACTCAGATTCCTGTTAAAATGTGATGACTTACTTCATTTGCTGCAGCCCATGAATATGAAATGAAGGGGTCAAGCTGTTTTAGCTTGACTTTTTTGACTTTGAGGAAGGTTTAGTGCTTCTCAGTATATTATCTGAAGACTGTCTGTGGGAGATGTTCTCTTTAGCTCTTTCTTCCTATATTGAATCTCCGTTACACTAAAAATAACAAATATCCTTTTTACACTCACACAGCGTTTGTCAGACCAATCTCATAATTTTGTCCGCACTGGCTATATATCCCCCTCATAGTTAACACAGATATTTTTCCTATTTTGACTAAAAGGGGAGAATGACAGAAACATATATTCAGTTGGGAAATGCCAAAAATTTAAAATGACAGAGACTATAATCTGCTTTTCTAGAACTACTCATTAAACATCTATTGTTAAATAAATGGAATTCTGCAATGTGCTTCAGGACAGAATGAGTTAAGTGCTATCTACCTTTAAAAAATAAATTTTTGGGACAAAATATTTATATAATCAGAGTCAGTCCTTCCTTTATTTGTAGCCGAGTTCTTCAGAAATAGGTGAATACAGATTTCCCAATAATGTTGCAGTGCCATATTTTCCTCTGCTGGAAATGTATTTTGCAATAGTCTGTGAGCAGGGCAGTAAAATATATTGCTTGCCAATAACTATGCACCAGCTCTCTAATATTGGAGAGTATTTGACACAATTACCTATGGTTAATAGTACTTCTCTCTTGAAACAGTATTGCTAAAGTCGATGCATTACTCAACATGAACAAACACATCACAATCACCCATTATGTCTTTCAAATACAAACGTGGTTAATAGTCATAAATTTGTACTCAATCATGTTTCTGTGTTCTAGGATGGATGGATACATCGCTTGCATGTAATGTAATCACACAGAAGTCTTGTGCATGCATATACAGTTAGTTTCTCATTTGACAGTATAAGGAGATCGTGTTAATTCGATATCACTAAAAGAAAGACTATTACTGTCTACAACACCCCCTTTCAGCTTTTTTGACATCTTACAGCTGATGTCTCTCCTTCCTCAAGTGAAGTTGGTCCTCAAAATCACATAGAGCTAAAGTCCTCCACTGCCTTGTGCTACCGTGGATATTTCTATTGGTGTAGAGTGAGTGTAAAATGGAGTGAAAATCCAAATGACACCATAGCTGGAAGATAAGGCCCAGATTTTCTCAAGAAAAGGAAAGTTAATGTTGGTTCTCAAGAGTTAAACTGATGTTTAGCTAGTAATTACTGTGTAGCAAGTGACCATTAAACTGAAATTAAACCTAATGTGGATTCCTGGTACAGTCTTTGTTTCTTCACTAGATGAGTTTCACCTCTGATGAATACAGGATTAATCTGTGCTCCATCATAAAACAAATTAATTAATAAACTAAATTATATTTAAATCTGTTGAATTTGTAAATTCTTTGTGATTGGGATTGTCTACACTCGATCTGCAGTAATTTTTGCTCAAGGAAAAAAAAAAGATTAACATTTTCTATGGGTTTTTTGGGGGGTTTTTTATTATTATTTTGGGGTTTGTTTGTTTGTTTGTTTGTTATAGGGACATGTAATAACCTACTAGCTACCAAATAATAAATGTCCAGTAATCAGGCAAGACATTGCTTGGACTAAAGACATTAACAATATTATAGATTCAACTGTATATACAAAGTGATTTAATGTATTAAATGTTGTGTACACACTTTGGCCCCAATGCAGTGTCATCTGTAGCTACACACTTCATAAACTTGTGACTGTTTTAATTAACATCACATAGATCTGAAGAGAAACTAGAGTTTTCATTATATGGGCAAGTCTGCTACTTTGAAATGTATGAAAATGGAAAATAATCAGTATATACAATTCTCTGAAAGGAAAACCATGGTAGAATGATGATTTTAAATCAATTCAAATAGTTCTTTTCCTCTAACAGCTCAAACTTTTTTTGGAAGAGCTACAAAGTGAAAGTGGCTCCATTGCAAGCAAAGAGAACTGGATTTAATGTTAAAATAAATCTTTAAAAATGCATACAGAGGTAAAATGGTGGTAGTATGTGCATCATCTTTTCTAATAGCAATAATAATTTTCATATGAATAATCATTTTGTTCCAATCTGTAAATTAAATATATTTTCCTTATCAAAAAGTTTTTCTAGTAGTATGCTTGTAAGATGAAAGTGATTTCACAATAGTTCTGCTGTGAAATTTGTTGCATTCCCAGTTTTGGTTTTGATGACACGGCATTTGCTAGCAGAAACCTGATGTGTCACAACAAACTAGGTTAGCTTACTCTATAAATTTTAAGCTAGGCTGTGATCTGTTTTACATTGGGCCCTCAGTGTAAACAGAAGTAATGCAGAAACCCTTAAACTTGAACAGTTTGTTTTCCAGAGGATTTTTGATCATTTACGACATGTCTCAATTTTTTATCCTGCCCATCTCCTTATTGCCATCATACAGTGGTCAACAGTTGTACCTCATGTATATTCATGTACCTTTGCATAACCGTGAAATTTACTGTATCAATGTAGAAAATGCAGACTTATATTGCTTATAGGGTATTTATACAGTGCTGTACAAAATCTCCCAAACAAAAATGTGCAGTATGTTAATTTCTATGTGACAGACAATTGAGGCATTGCAATTTTAATGCTTGATCCAATGCCAATGGTCAAGCTGCTGAAGATGACAAACCTACATTCTCTGACAAACCCACAGTCTTTCTAAAGCCTACACAACTGAAAATCTGCTGCATCTAAAGCCTGCTTAGATTTACAAGTCTAGTTCCTTATGAAAACAGGATTGATACTAAAAGTAGATTAATTTTGCCAAGTATTAGGAATATAAAAGTTAGATGACCGGTATAAATTAACTTCTGGGTAGTGTTTTATTTAATTTATCATGCACAACCATCTTAAAATGAGATGAGTCATTCACTGACATGATCCTCTCTCTCTTCACTCACTACAGGGAAAGCTGAGCTCCTATTAGACAGCAAACCTTAAGTGGATAAGACCAGTAAAGATAAAATACAGATGCAGGAATTTTTTACTGGCTTTTTGTTTCTTCTGCACAGAAACTTATTCTTCAGCTTTGAGGAAGTAATGAAATAGCAGAAGGGATAGAACCAGAAAGAAGGAGGAATAAGGGAGCACCACACTCTTCCTAGTCACAATTCCTGGTTACCTTGTTGAGTTAGCCTCCTTATACATGCTGGTAAGCAATCAAATGAAAGCTCAAAATGCTTTACCATACCTGATTGTGGACTTTGTTTGGGCATTTTGGCTGCTGCTTCAGGGCTGGAAGTGGCACGCACACGCTGATTGGCAGAGTTATGGATGCTACTTGGAACAGCTGCTGAGATGTTTTTGCGAGGTTTCATGTCTTGCAACCACATTGGAGATGCCTCAAAGGCTTGCATTCGCCGAGAGTGGCTGTTAGCGTTGACTTTGAGAAATGCCTGGGCCTTGTATTCCTGAAGGTCTCCATAGTTGGCATCGGTCACCCTGCACTCATACAAGCCTTCATCCTTTTTCCTCACTTTTGAAATCTGCAGCTTGTGGGAGATGTCGTTCCCTTGTACTTTCACTGTCTGCAAATTTGCCAGGAAAAAAACCAACCAAACAAACATGTTGTCAGGTATTATTCTTTCTCTGGGAAGACTCCACTGATGTAGAGTCTGTCCAGAGAAGTTCAAGCACCAAATTTACCAGTGGTGTGATTGTGCTTACTGCAGGGAAGCTCCATCAACAATGAATATGTTTAGTTGTATCTATGAGGATGTCTGACTGTTTAAATTTGAAATGCTCTGAAATGTTAATTGCCCTCATTCCAATTAATTGCTTAAGATCATGAACATTCTTAATGAGCTTTCTTTCACAAACCTACTATCTGTGCACTTCATTGGTTAAACCATTCCAGTTAGTTGGCTTTAGAGAATAAGTCAGTTTTTGGACTAGTGCACTAACAATTTTGTTGGAGATGTTTGACAGTATTTAAACTTCTTCTATAACAATTTCTTATATTAGCTTGTAGTCTTCACTACATTGAAACTGCATGTTTGACATTTTATTTGTCTCCTTCAGACATGTCCAAACCTTTGGAATTTTTTGTTTATTAACTATAACAAAACATATTGTGTCAGGTATTTCCTTTCGTCTCATTTGTATAAGTGTGTACTTATTAGAAGTCATATATCATTTCTGGAGCACATATGCAAGTAGCACATATTCAAGATAGTTTTAAAAGTTGTCAGCTGAAATAAGACTCCTGATTTATTTTTAATCACTTTTAATAGCTGAGGGTAACATAACATAATTTTGTCTCACATAATTAAAACACAGATGAGTAAATTATGCATCCAGAAATGTGTGCTAGGTATTAAGATGCATTAGGAAAGGTAACACAGATTCTTTTCTGTATGTTCATCACTTTAGAGAATTTATATTTAATTAATTGGTTATTACTCTCTATCTGGATTAGTATCTGCTGCTCCATGGGAAGCTAGTTAAAAGGGATTCAGTTGGACAGAAAACCTCAGCTTTGAAGAACTCCTGAGCCTGATTTACTTCCACCATTACACAAACATGGATGCAAATGCTGCTTTGTGTTGTGTCAGTGACAGTCAATGGGGAAACATCAGGGCAATGAATATATGGTAAATGACAAAAATGGAGAACTGTTAGATTGAAACTAGGCATGTGTTATTGGTGATTATATAACACATTGCTTCTGATAGCTTGGCATGCTGCAGTCACCAGTGTTGGCAAAGCACCTATTCTACCCGCTTGATAAATTGAAGAGCAATACTTGTGAATACATTATTGCTTTAAGGTACTGGATGGACTTTACAGCCTGTTGTGTTACATCCAGCTTTGAATTTAAACTTGGCAGACTGAGTTGAAAGTATGGATTGCGTACTTTCAGGCATAACATATGCAATATTAATTACACAGAAAGTGCTGGATAGTTATTTAAACCATATTCAATAATAATATATCTCTACTGAACAACTCATATTCTGTGAAAGGATTAATGAAGTTTCATATGAGCTATATGAATGGACAGAGGATCATGTACTGCCTTCATTTGCTCCTATACAATATCTGCAAAGTGATTGCACAGAACTAATGGAAAACAGAATTCATTTTGGGTTTTGCATTTGAAATTTAGAAATGGTTGCAGTCAACTTACTCCTTTCAACTTACTCCTGATTATCATTTAAAACCAAAAGAAGTGGTGCATTTCAGCACAGTTTAAAAACATGGTTAGCATCTTTTACCATTTCTTTAAAGAATTTACTAAATGCACTTTAAAATTTGCTCCCTTCTTTAAGGAGATGCTTTCCAGTAATATTAAGAGAGACTATCTGTATGCATTCAAGAAAGAAAAAAAAAAAAAGCTACATTTATAACAAGTGTATTTAGACTGTCAACCTAATGTTGACTTTTTTTTTTAATTGCTAATATAAAACGTTTTATGCAAGCTTATAAAAACACTGTATAAATTCCCCATTGTGAATTATTTTCACACACAATGAGAGAAAGAGATTTTTAACTTGAAAGATGGGATAAGCTTTACAGCCTATATTGTGCCATAGATTTTATGGATTACTATGGGCCAGTATTGAGAAGGAATAAATTCGCTGCTAACCCTGTGTCTAGTGGAATAGTATCCAAAGACCACATGTGGGCCTCACTTGTCAAATAGTCTAGAAATGTAACCAAAGATATTGTCATGACACAAATGGTTTATGGTGTGTAGTGAAAGGTACTATAAGAAATGTCAAGTTTGGCTAGAATATGTGTGGTTTTGAATATAATGTATCTGATTTCACATTTATAAGTGCCCTTCAGCTGCACTTTGACCTGATGTAATTACTTGGTTAGTTATTTGTAGGCATCAGACAGCAGGAGAGTAATGGATTTTATAGAAATGATTCACCTCTATCTGTTGCTGGTTTAAGCTTTCCTGGTAGTTAGAGCCTTGGCTGCATCTAAAATGCACTTCCAAAGGGATTGTGTCTGAGGAAGGGAAACCCACTTTGGGTTTGTAAAACATACTCATGCAGCCGTATCTGCTAAGTACCTGTGTCTTTCCACTGCAGTCAGCACCACACCATGACCCCCCCACCACACATTTCTTGGGATGCTGAGGGAGGAGGGTCTGAGGTCTTCTGATGTGAGGGGCTGTATTTGCACCTGACTCAAGATACGGGTCTACTGAGAAAGGCATCCTTTCCCTGGACAAGGGCTGAAGCAACGTTGCTCATAATTTAGTTAAGACAACATTTGTGGTTTAATCTCCAAATGGCAGATTGGTAACTCTGATGTCAGAACCCTACTTTCCTAAGAAAGAGTCTGAGTGGCCAAGAGTGGAGATTACTCTCAACAGGATGGTCTTGTCCAAAGACTTTCCGAGCTTTTTTTCTCTCAGTGGATATGAAAAGCTGTGAAAGCACCCATTTAAATAGTTGCACACTCTACTGAAGAAAAGCAGCTTCACAGCCAAATTTCAGACATAAATCCGGCTTTGGAGCACTAAGGCAGACTCAGCCGTTGCCCAGGGTAGATGAAAACAAGAGGCACAAGGACGGGTGCAGGTTGTCTGCTTCAGGGGGGTGGAAACGGAGCCTGCCAAGGGCCCCGCTTGCTGAGGCCTTCACGCCCAGGGGTCCCCAAGGGTATGGGCTGCGTGGGGGCAGGGCTGTCCCGGCACCCTCTGCCAGGGCGGGCGAGGAAGGAGCTGCCGCTTCGGTTTGCGGTGCGGATGGGGAGGGGATGAGCCGTGGGGGAGCAACAACCCGGGCGCACCCCGGTGCTGCGGGCGGCCGCCGGCATCGCCCGAGGAAGGGGGGGCGTCGCGGCCCCGGCTCCCCCGGCGCGGCGGCGGCGGCGACAGCGGGGGCTTCCCGCGCCCCGCGGCCACACTTACGCTGATCTTCGTGCCGTCGCTGTCCAGGTCTCGCTCGGGCAAGAGCTCCACCTGCGGGGAAAGGAACGCCGCCGTGGGTCACCGGCCCCCGCCCCGCTCCGCGGCCCGCTCCCACCCGCGGATCCGCCGCGCAGCCCGTGGAGCGGCGCGCCAAGTCTGCCACCTGCGGGCCGCGCCGGGAACAGCACCCCCAGAGCGCTGCGGAGGGGCATGGCCCTGCGGACCCGCTGCCCCCTCCACTCGTGTGGGTGTCTCTTCGCGTGAGGCTGCACGCCAAGAGGGGCCCTGGATAGCAATGTAGAGTGGACGTGGCCCCCTCTGTGCCTCTCGGAAGGCTTAAATTGAGCTGTTGTATCATGGGGTTTTTTGAGTCTTTGGGGCATTGGTTTCCCCTGCCGTCTCCCCCCATCCCTGCAGAGCGTGTGCTCTCCTCTGGCAGCTGCATGCAGAGTTAGGGCTGCCAACTCGACTGCACCAGCTGCAAATTGGAGGGCATGTGTAGCGTCTTGCCATTTGGGAAATAAAAAATTCGCACAAGGAGCAGTCTCTGAGCAGCTGCTTGCCAAAGAGAAAAAGAGAGGGGGAAAAAAAAAGACTTTGGAAATCCATGTGGTTTTGTGAACATCCCTAGCTGCATCTTGAGAGTGACAGGCACCACCCTTGAGGTGGACATTTTCATCTGCAGGTTCCTGGGCTGTTATTTTGTGGTCAAAATTAAGTTCCTGGGGAGATCCAGAGCCTCCCTGTGCTCCCTGCCCCTCCTCCCACCCTTCTCTCCTTCCCTCCGTTGCTCTCCACCCATTCTCCTGAGTATTCCTGGGTGGTCTGGGGACCCCGTGGCAGAGGATCAGTACCTGAGTGCCTGTCACCTCAGGTCCAGCCTCTTGGTCCTCAGCCGCCCGCAGAAACCACCACTGGATTTCAAGGTACACTGAAGCGGAGCCACTTTGGAAAGCACAAGACATCTCCACATTCTGCCCTTCAGTGGCCGTGACATTTCGGGGAAATTCAGTGAATTTTGCTGTAAAACAAATGCACAACATGTTGAGATCTCCTGTTACTTCATTATTTATTCTCTGCTTTTTGCATTGCCTTTTTGCTTCTGTCTCCCTCTTTTTTTCCTTTAAAATTAATTTCTTTGTTTTCTTTTCTCATTCCCCCTCTTTTCTAATTTTCCAGTTCCCCCACACATTATGTTCTCCGGTTTCTCTCACACCCGGGTATGTCTTTCTTCCCTTAGGCACAATTCCATCTTTTTTACACTCTAAGTTATGCTCATGTGAAATGCTATATACCCCCCTACTTGCTCCCATGGGCTAGTAAAGTTTTATATAATTAGGTCCAAATACCCTTGGGCAGAATGCAGTATTTCACCAGACTCACTGAGGGATTTTGTGCAAGACCAATTTGGATGAGGGGAAAAAAAAAAAAATCTGACTGATTTATTGTATTTTGTAGGGCAATTGTTAAACCTTTCACAGCCAGCTGGGGAGGTGGTTGGAACTCTTCTGAGGAGCGGGTACCAACCACTCATCAAAATGCCCGTTTCAAAGGATTTACCTGAGTTAGTTACTCTTTCTGAGAACCTCTGCTTGCATAATCAGACCAAGCAGCAATATGTCTTCTGCTTCTCAGTCCTTGCAGTCACTTTCTAGAACTGCCCTTCACCTTTGTATCCCAGTCTTTTAACAAACAGGGTTTGCCCATTTCATTTTATCGCTGCTAGGTTTAAAAACTAATCCTGATGGACATAGTCCAGGGCACCAGTATTTCTTCAAGTCTCAGACTTGACTTCCTTCCCCTTCCTTTCCTATAACTGATTTTAAAATTGTGCAAGATAATGAAACATGATAGGCAAGTGATGGCGACTACAGACAAACAGTTTAATAAATAAAACCTCTGTTTCAAGAAGAGGAGAATTTCTAAAGACCTTGCAATGTTGCTTTCTGTTACGCGTTGCTACAGAATGACTAGAGCATATTATGATGTGAAGGAAATACTGCTCGTTGTCTCCTCCCCTCTCTATCAGGCTTCCTAGCTAACCTAGAATTGGTGGGATAATTTGGCAATACGCTCAACCAGTTTTACTTCTTTTTCCCCTTACATTAGAGCTTGGCAACAGATAGCAAAGCTGCTAGCTGTATATTTCACGGTGTCCCTTTTTCTGTCCCCCCCGCCCCCACTGCTAGTCACCGAGTTAAACTGACAAAAGGACCGTGCGTTTTGTGTGATCGGGGCTTGTAAGTTTGTTTGGGTTTTTCGGTTTCTTCCTTGCCTCCCCGACCGGTCAGTGCGTGTGAGCGGTGTGGGGAGGCGGAGAGGGACGCTGCCATCACCCTGCCCGACCGCACCGCCCAGCGCAGCCCGGCCCAGCCTCTCAAAGACGGCGGGGAGCTGCAGGCGGGCAGCGGGCGCGGAGCAGGGGGCGGCGGGCGGGGGTAGCGGGCGCAGGGGGGCAGCAGGAGGCAGCAGGGGGCAGTGGCAGAGGGCAGCAGGCAGGGGGCGGCAGGCG